CTGCAAGCAGTTCCTGATCGGGAGCCACAGAAGTGGCCACCCAAGAAGACAGCTGCTTGCAGAGGAGCCCTCGCCTAGGCACGTCAGGACGCATCTATATGAACTGACAGACGAAGTCCAGAGGTTCATCAAGCAACCTCTGGACCCGGCAGCTTACAGACAGGCCCTGAACGGCATTCACAGGGACTCAGTCTCGAGTTATGTAGACTCTAGACCTGTGAATGCCGTTCTAGGCATACCACCCCCGGACATAGACGAGACGGAGCTTCATCTGCCTCGGCAGACTCGCACAACACTTGCGCAACTTCGCTCCGGCTACTGCAGCAGGTTGAACTCCTACCTGAGTAGATTGAATGAGGATGTGCCGAATGAGTGTCCGGCATGCGGAGAGACCCCACATGACTCGAAACATCTCTTCGCATGCCCGGAAAACCGGACAACCCTAACGGCCTTGTCCCTGTGGACAAACCCCACAGAAGCTGCACGCTTCCTAGGGCTGCCGTTAGTGGAACTTGACGACAACGACTGAGATACCAACCGTCCTGGGCGGGGTTGTTGTATCCGCTACAACAACAACAACAACAACTTCGATACTCAACCTTCATGTTCTTCGGGACGTTCAAGCGGAAGGACAACTAAGCGACGCGCCGATGCTGAACTGAAGGATACTTTTGCCAAAGCAATGGAGGAATGCGTTGCCTCAATATCTGACCTTGCCAAAGTGCCACGAAAAATGCAAAATTCATTGGGCCACAAATCTGCATACTCGGAAAAGTTCTAAAAAATCTGATTAAAAAGTCGAAAATTTTCATGAAAAGTTGCTGAATTTTCGCGAGTTTTGCACAAAGTTTAGGAATTATATTTTTACGTTTTTTGTTGTAGAATTAACCATATTTGTATACGAAATTAGCGGAAAAATGTTAGAATGAAAATTGTTGCATATATTGTGAAACATTTGCTGTGCCAATACTTTGTTCCGGCAGTGTAGTTATTGCCTTATTTATAAAAATTAGTAAATTTTGATGTACCGCCCGTTACAAAACGATAATGATAATGGTCATTAATTTTCTCCAAATATTTTTTTGTTGACCGTATTATGCACTTTCTTCCATGTGATACGGTCAAAATAAAAGTTATCTCAAAATCACCGGCTGTAATTACATATTTATTTGTCCAGAAGTTGATGAATATGTAATAAATTGAATTTGAAGTTAAATTAAATTTTAAAGCAAATAGAAAAGAAATAAAATAGAATTTTAATAAAATTTATAGCACAGTGGTAAAAGTTCCAACACTGAAGACACGTTTAGCAACAAATCAGATGCGGCGTCCTGTTTAAATTAAATATATTAAGTATTATCGCAACTTTAATAAAGGGGAATAGTTAATCTTACCTCAATTATTAAACAGTATATCGGCCAGTGCGTCTCTGCTCCTAAATGCATCTGCACATGACCGATTCGCTAGTGCGATTCTGCAGGAAGGCAGCCCAGCGTGGGATTCCCTCCAAGTCCCTGGCACATGAACACCATTTTCCAGGTGGTCCACGAGCTCGTCATTGAAATATCCACTCTCCCTATCGAGCATTAGATAATTATGCAGTACAATTGTCGCTAACACAATTTTATCCACATTGTTTGGTGCTCCGTGAATATTCGTGTGTAGAACTCTCCACCTGCTAATCAAAATTCCAAATGAATTTTCAATATGCACACGAGCACGAGATAATTTTTTGTTGAAGTTGTCCTTTATAGCTGATAAGTTCCGGCCAGGATATGGACGCATCAAGTTGTGCTTCAGTGGGAATGCATTATCTCCCACGAAATAATATTGGAAAGTTGTTTCTGTTCCTAAAATATTGAAAAATATAATTAACAATAATTTACAAATATATGTACATATGTATATGTTTAAGAAAAATTATAATTACCAGGAATTGCATTATCTGGCGGAATATTAAGGTATCCTCTTAAAATCAATTTTCCAAATGCACTACGTGAAAAAATTCCACCATCACTCTCGCTTCCCATCGCACCCACGTCCACACAAGTAAACGTGTAGTTGGAATCGCAGGCTGCCATTAGAACGATACTATACGTTTTTTTATAATTGTAAAACAACGATCCGCTGCGTGCTGGACAAACTATTTTTATATGCTTGCCATCGACCGCTCCAACACAATTTGACATTCCCGTTTTCAAGTAAAACCTTTACGAAGACAAAAAATTCAATTTCAACACGGAAACATAGATGGTCACTACAAACCTGTCTGATATTTTTTTCCATTCATGCTCATTGGGCTGAGCGACGTAGACGTCATGCAGTTCTGTACATAAGGCATTGCAAGTATCGTAAATTGTCTCTCTTCTCGAAAAACGCGCGAGTCTCTCGTTTATCAAAGTCAAAAGAGTTTGAAATTTGGGAAAACTCATCCTAGTGGCTTTGAAAAAGTGCTCCTCGTCCTCCAGCTTCAGTTGTTGAAAACATGTTCCATGGAACCCAAACTCATTGCTGGTGAGGTTCGCAGGACGCACCCACCACCTCCTTTTCAACCACTTGCTCGCCTCCATGTACATCTCGTACATTGTGCTCATTATGTACATAATTTTAATTATCCGCAAAAGTCTTTGAATATTGGACATTTTTGCACGTACACACAAACGAAAAGCAAACGAAAAGATTGTACTACAAAATTGATTTTATTGTTAAACCACAAAATGTCAACTAAAAACCGTTCCGTCGCAATTGTGTTTACCCGTCCGAATTTTCCCTCCTGGAATGGGTCAGCTGTTCGCCACCCGTCAGCCCGTAACCCGCTATCCACTGCAATTCTGTTTAGGGCATGACGCATTTGGGCTCAATGTAAATGTAGTATTTGGCTTCCCCACGGGACTTTTGATTGACATGGTAAAATTTTTCAACCGGAGTTATACTAGGTTCACATATAAGTAGATTATCCTCATTTTCGAGCTTAAATCCCTAATCTGTAATTAGAACAAGTAATTTTTAGAAAAAAAAAAACAAAAATCAACTCTCATATAAAAAAAAATATATATATATATATATATCTCATGATCCACTGATCGGATCTTAACCAGATTAGTATGGGACCACCTCTGAGACACTACCTTTATCGAAATCGGTTGACCTGGTCCAAAGTTATGCAGTAACATACAGACTTCCTTTTTTGGAAGTCGGTTAAAAAGAGATTAGCCATACAAAATTCGTCCCTTGTTAATCTGTAATTATAAAATAATCTCAGATTTAACCGATAACTTTTCGGTGTCCAATCTGCTTTTGTCGATTATTTTTGCGAAGAAGAGGAGAAATGCCAAATGTAAAAGTAAACAAAAATGGACGCTCACAAAATAAATATTGAGTTAAAACATATTTAAATTGCTTTATATTGCAGAAAAAAGTGATCACGGTGGCACAGAGAAGAAACATAACCTTTCCGTGAGATGTGAGAATAACAAGCACAAAAAATTTTACGGATAATAATCTGAGATTTGCCGGGGTGATTAAAACACGAGCTTTGACCGAGATAATATTTATATGTGAACATACTTTTAATCGTGAATTATTTATGTAAATGGCCGTGAATAAATCCCCAAAGGATGGTCACGCCATATAATCACCATAAAATATCTCCGTATCGCATGGAGGAAGATTAAGGCTTGGCCGTGGTGTTAGCACAGGCTCACGGTTTATGGGGTTAAACGTTGCAGAGCTTGGCTGAGCAAAAGTTAAATTATGGATGGTTTCACCCATCAACGCCGTACTCATGGCCGCAACACCCGTATTGTCTTCAGACAAACTCCGCGAATAATTATCGAAAGAATTGTTGACTTTTGCCCACAGTGCCTTAAGCTCCTCCTTCTGTATCTCAAGCGAAAAAACAGAGTGATTTGCTCCTGGAGTCTGATTAAACCGCTCTCCAAACTCTATTAATGTATCACAAGCGCGAGAAAAATCACTACCATTTGCCATTTTTAGAGATAAAGGTTTTTTTTATTACAAGCTTTTATTTAACTTCACTTGTATGTATGTATGTATGTATGTCCTGGAACTTTGCAATCAATATTTAACAAATTTCCCGATGAGCTACAGACTTGAAACTTCAAACTTAGTTCAGAACTCGAGGACAATGCAATATAAAAGACACCTTAATCCGCTGGGCGGCGCAGGAGTCGAGATATTTGTAAAACCCGCATTTATAGTCTGATTTGGTTCATATTTACTTATATGAAAAGGAATGAATCCGAAAAAAATTTTGCCTCTAGGTGGCGCAGAAGTCGAGATATTTGTAAAACCCGTATTTATAGTCTGATTTGGTTCATATTTAGAACATGTATTACTTGTATGAAAATAAATAAATCCACAAACAATTTTGCCGATAGATGGCGCTGGAGTCGATATATTTGGAAAATCCGTATTTATTTTATGATCCGATTAAGTTCACATTTAGAATGCATATTCCTTACATGAAAATAAATAAGTACACAAAAAATTTTGGCAGTTATGTGGCGCGTGAGCCTATATAATTAAAAAATCGGCATCTGTGTTCCTATTTGGTTTATATTCAAAATATGTGTACTACCTATTTAAATTGAAATATATTGAAAATTTTGTTTGCTAAGGTCAAGTCTAGCACGTTAAGTAAAAAGTGTAGCTAAAACGCAGGGTGCGGAAAATTTTGGTCGCATTGAAAGAAATGGGCAGAATGAGAAATATACAGACAGTATAATATTAATTGCAAGACTTCAAAGACTAAAAAGTAGAAAATAAAATTATGGTTAAAAAACTAAACACACGCTTTTATTACAACAAGAACTAAAAAGTATACAATAATTTATAGATATAGCGATTCCGTTTAAGAAGAATAGGAAGTTCCCTAACTTGATTTAATTTAACTTTTTTAAATTAGCTAACAATAGGATTAAAGTGATTGGTCCGTAATCATAGTCAAAATAAAGTCCACTGAAAAGTTTTTTGCAGTTTTTTTTTTACAGATATCCCCTTGAAAATTATGTCAAAAAGCTGCAACTAACTTTGCAGTGGACTTTATTTTGACTATGGCTACGGGCCAATCACTTTAATCCTATTTTTAGCTAATTTAAAAAAGTTAAATTAAATCAAGTTAGGGAACTTCCTATTCTTCTTAAACGGAATCGCTATATCTATAAACTATTTTATGTAAGCTTTTAGCTCTTGTTGTAATAAAAGCGTGTTTTTAGTTTTTTAACTGTAATTTTTTTATTATTGACTTATGGCCTTAATCATAAAAAATAAAGTAGGTTTGAAAAGCTTTATAAATTGACGTTTTCATACATTTTTCAATCTATAAACCTTTTGTAAAGCTACTTTATTTTTTATTAATAAGGCTGCTAAACTTTAAATTTACTAACAATAAATTAATACAAAAAACGGATTATTTGCTACGGTGCTTTCTCCACTGGTTGTGTGATGACCAGCCGATTGGGAGTCCAATGAGTGTTGCTCGTGAGAATGTGTCTTAAAGCAAGAATGATAGAATACAAGATTGCGCCAATCGAGCTGAGAGCAACTGGCCGTGATGTCAACAAATACCAGAATGAGAGAGCAAGACGAACTCGACAAGAAAAAGAGGAAGCTATTTTTTGGTACACTTGTAGGCTGGTCTGATCTATTATTTAATGGTGCCAATAAAACACTTATTCCACATTCGTTGCCCAACGTTTCGCTGAAATTTCCAGCATCATCAGGGGCGACTATGTTTATTAAATCCAACAAAGAAATACAAGGAAAAAACAAAAGATGTTAAAATGAATAATACAAGTTGGCATACATGTGTTTGTAAAAACAAAGACAACAATTATGGACTAATGCAAAGAACATATACTCACAATAATATTAAACATTTGCTTTAAACTTAATATTAATACATATACACATAATCAGTACCACTCTCTATGGTAGTATTGTCATTACTAAATTGTTTATTTTGATATGCATAACATGTAGGCGGCCGCGATGTTGTCCGTATCTTCTTTTTTGTTGATCGTATTCTCCCTTTTTTCTAATATTCTTAAGCTTTCCAAAGTGTATCTCGTCATTTCCCTCTTTTCCTTGTCAATAATCCTAGTGTTAGTGAAATCAGCTGTGTGGCCGCTGTTTAATATGTGCTGTGATAGGGCTGTGCTGTGTTTTTGTTTCCTTATATCTGTTTGATGTTCGGCTATGCGAACACCTAATGCGCGTTTTGTTGTCCCTATGTACACTTTACCACAGTTTTCGTTCTCTTTGCCCTTACATTTTATTTCATAAACAACGTTGTTTTGTTGCTGTATGTCTAGTGGGCTTTTTGTTCTTGTGTAGATTCTAGCTAACGTGTTATTTGTTTTGTAGGCGAGAGTTATGTTTTGTTCCTTTAATGTGCTGTGATCAAAGTTTTCGCTTAGCTTGGGGATGTAAGTGACGCTGTAGTACTTCTTTGGTGTATTTGCTGTTGCTGTGCGTTTTATTTTGCTGATTTCCTATTCGCATTGTTTCTTGTTTTATTAGGAAGCGTCGAACAAAAGGCAGTATTGCTAAGATTTGAATTTGAAAAAGCACCAAATTTTTATTGGTGTATTTTACGGACTTTATGTTTATGCATACATAATTTTATTGTAACGGTGCCGATTCAAATTATTAGAAATCAATGTTCTTCGCACGACGGTCGATTTCTTTTGGCATGATTGAAGATGCTGCCTCATATTTTGCTGTCGCTTATGATTGTCACTGTGCAATGATTTCGTTACAATTTTTGTAAAATTGCTTACCTCACTTACGATTGCTATAAATTTTGGTTCCATTTTTTTAAGATTTTCTAATTTGGTGTCTTCAAACTAAAAACAAAAGCACCAAAAACGCACCAAGCACCAAACTCAAAAATTTTCGCGTTTTGAATACCCACTAAATTTGGTGCGAAAAGCATCAAGTTGGCAACCGTAAATGTAAACAAAAGTATTTTATGATGCCAGCGATTGGGTGGATGCTGTCAAATCAACGAAGAGATGGTTAGCGGTCCGCGAATGGCGCGACCTTTCTTTTCTAGATCGTGATCTTAAAGAGCTTTATTTGAGATAATTTCTCACCCCAGCTACACCCGTTCGGTCGGATCTTGATATTGGCGCAGCCTTTTCTGTCGGGTAAGCTGATTGGGCTGGAGCTCCTGACACTGGATACAGGCTGACACATACTTAAGCACTTAAAGTTTTTTTTTCACTAAATTGATGTGATCCCGGTACATTCGCCGTGTACCAGTTCACCGCAAATTAAACAAATCGCGCCCGACTTGAATATACGTGGCGAATCTCAAAGGCTTACCTTTTCTCGCAGCTTACTGTTATTACTTGGAGGCGGCGTTGCTCCCGCGTTGGGGGCCTTGGTTTTTATTTATTGTTCTAGCGGTGGGCCACTTGGTGGGGGCCTTATTGGTTATTTGTTGCTTCCGCGGTAGGACACTGGTGGGGGCCTTATCGTTGGATGCGCTGCTACCACGGTGGGCCACTGGTGGGGGACTTGTTGCTTATTTGTTGTTCCCGCTTTGGGCCACTGGTGGGGGTCTTGGTTTTTATATATTGTTCCAGCGGTGGACCACTTGATGGGGGCCTTGTTGCTTGCTTGCTCCTGCGGTGGGCCACTGGTGGGGGCCTTGGTGCTTGTCTTTTGTTTCTCCCGCGGTGGGCCACTTGGTGGGACCTTGGTGTTAGCTTTTGTTGGTTCCGCGATGGGCCACTTGGTGGGGGCATTGGTGCTTGTTTATCGTTCCATCGGTGGGCCACTTGTGGGGAACTTGTTGTTGCTGGTGCAATTACCAATGGAGCGCGTTGCTATTGCTGCTAGTTGCTGATGACACTGCAGTAGTTGCACTGGCGCGTGCGATGTTACCCCAATCCTGCGAAAGAGACTGAGATGATAATTTAATATATATATTTT